GTTGGAGGGCCGGACTATAGTTTAAAAAAAAACTATGAACAAATTCCTATGCACACTGCACATATCTTATTTTGAAGTAAAAAAACAAAACGGGAACAAATACAATATTTGTATTTGCATGTGGCCGCGGGCCGTAGTTTGAGGACCCCTGCTCTAAGGGCAGCAACTGCTTCTCGTTACTCTGGCAGCCCCGGTGCCAAGCACAGCGGACACCTACCAGACGTTCCTAAGTGCCTGATAACAAGGTCATCAGCTACCCTCCGCGAGCCCACAGAGGGAGGGGGACTGGGCGAGACCCCGGAGAGCCGGGAGAGCGGGAGGAGTGGGGAGAGCGGGGTTGTGGGGGCGGGAGCAGCAGCTCTCCTTCCTCCCCTGAAGGTGGTCCTGGGGAACCTGCCGAGAACAACTCATCAGCCCTCAGGAGTGCTGCGCAGTTCGGCAACTGCTTTCTTTACAAGGAGGTAGTGACACTAGTTTAACTTAAAATAGCGGCCGTGTAAGACCTGGCTACTCACCAAAACAGAACTCCGCCTTTGGCCTCAGCTTAGTTGCATCGCTCACCTACCGAGAAAGAGATGAGTCACTCGCTGCTGCACGGCGCCGCAGCGGCCCACACACAGCGCCACGGCCAGTGTGCCTCCCCTCCTCACCACCTCCAGCACACAGGGGGGAGGAAACTAGAGGAGCTGAGAGCACCGCTGTTTCCATGTGGCTGCGGGCTCCCCTCGTGAGCTGCTGACAACACATGACACTTCCATGTTCTCTGAACAAACTTTTCTCCCAAAGGAAATGTGAAGAATTGAAAGCAAACCTTTCAGTTTTATGTCACACATGTATTTACTTGTAGTATTTTCCAAAATACCTCTACAAAACTAAGACTTCTTCCCAAAACTGTGTATTTCTGAATTAGCTGTGAACTCTAAGAGAAGATGACGGTGGGAGAACGTATGCTTAAGAAAGCCCGACAATCCAGCAGGCATGAGTCTGCGACGAGGAAGTAAAGACTGGCCCGGATCCTCTCTGGTACGTTAGGGCAGCGTGCGGGCACGGGTGGTCCGTGGGGTCCGAAAGGTTGGCGACCGCTGCAGTGGAGCATCCGGGGCTAAGGGGCCTCGTCACTAATGCAGCACGGGCTCCTTCAGAAGGTGAAGCCACCGGACGGCCCCACTCGCTGCCATCTCTGCTGTAACACAGCTGCTGGAAGCCCATTCATGCCTACAGCCTGCTGTGCCCAGTGTGGGGACTACAACTGTAGCACCTGTTTTACCTTCGAAGCCGGGGCTCCCAAGTGATCTCAACTATAAAGTCCCAGCTCTGAGTCACACGGCCAGAGTCAGTTCTGGGGAAGTGGCATGTCTACGGTGAGTGCTAACTGCAGCGCTCACACTTGCGTAAGCCGGGGACAGAGATGAAAGTGAACTACACAGAGAAAGTGACGTTTTCAAAGGGAAGCGATGCAGAAAGGGAAAGCAGCTGGCCAGGCCGCCTGCTTGCTTAGTTAATAGCTCATTTTTACAAAGAGCTCCCATTTTCCCACCTGAAACCAACACAAAGTTATACTGAATGGAAACTGTAATTGAAAAAAATAAAAATTAAAAGAAAGCAATCCTTGATTAAAACCAAGCACAAATAAAGTGCCAATACAAAGAATGAATAAATAAATAAATAAATAAATAAATAAATAAATAAAAAAAAGCACGCTTTACCTTGGAAAAAATTTTAGAAATAAAAAGAGCTCCCGTTTGTAAAAAGACCAGGCAATAAACAACTATAAAGACACACGCAGACGGGCAATGGCTCCCTCAGCTGCCGACTCCCGAAAAAGAGGCTTTTCCACCCGACTTCACTGAGTGGAAATGCTGGCGGCACATTTACGCCACAGGGCACGCATGTGCACCACAGGCAACCAAGCAACTGGGGGCCTACAACTCCCCACACCATGGAATTCTACGCTTCCTGTTCATAGTCTGCTAGAATTTAAGCTGCCAGCTACCCTGAAGTATTTATTAAATGTCTTAATTTAAAGAGAGAAAAAAATAAAAAATAAATTTTAAAAAAGTCTGAATTTACAGGAACACTTGAGGTAAACTTAAACAACATTTGTCTCATAAATTTACATTATATGGCCTTAACACAAAACATTTCCCTTAAAATATGTCATCTTTATTGTCCAAGGGCTAATCCTCTTGTCGGTGAGAATGAACAGTTCTATTGTTATACTGATAGCAAAGTATTTTATTTATAAAAATACCTTTTAAACAGAGACACACTGTAAACTGGCCTCTTGTTGAAGACCTTGCTAACAAATCCCGACATATGCAGAACAGTAAGCGTGTGCATATGCTTAGGCAGACTATGTGCTACTTTTCACAGCTCAGATCTTAAATCATCCACAAAAATATTACTTTGTGTAAAACACAAAAAGCCCACAGAATAGAAAATACCTGACATTATCAAATCAAAATTTTTAAAAAAGAAAAATAGCATTACAAAAATGCCAGAAAAGCCCAGCTGGTGTGGCTCAGTGGTTAAGCACTGACCCACGAACCAGCAGGTCACGGTTCGATTCCCTGTCAGGGCACATGGCCAGGTTGTGGGCTCGATCCCCAGTGTGGGGCCTGCAGGAAGCAGCCCATCAATGATTCTCTCTCATCATTGATGTTTCTATCTCTCTCTCCCTTTTCCTCCCTCTCTGAAATAAGTATTTTTTTAAATGCCAGAAAAATCAACAAACAAGAAAACAGAAATTAGTAGAGAGAAAAGTGAAAAGGGGGGAGGGGATCATTCTTTTATCCACCAGTGGGGTCCCTCGGCCTGGCCTGCAGGATCGGGCAAAAACGGCTCTCGGACATCCCCCAAGGGGTCCTGGATTGCGAGAGGGCGCAGACCAGGCCGAAGGACCCCACCGGTGCACGATAGGGGAGAGGGAGGAACGCAGCCGGGAAGGGACTGCAGGAGGGCTTCAGGGCATGTCCGGCCCATCTCACTCAGTCCCGATCGGCTGGACCCCAGCAGCATGCTAACCTATGGTTCGGAGCATCTGCCCCCTGGTGGTCAGTGCACATCATAGCGAGCGGTTGAGCAGCCATAGCATATCATTAGCATATTACACTTTAATTGGTTGAACGGCCAACCGGACACTTAGCATATTAGGCTTTTATTATATAGAATGGTTCATATTTTCCTCAAAATAAAGTGTAAAGAAAAAGTAAAGGTAATGGAAACAGTTTAAGTAACTATAATAGACTTAGAAAAATGTTATCCGTTTCCTGAAGATAGAACCTAATTGCTAACTGATTTCTCCCCTTCTGATGTTCATTTACCTCATCACAGAAACTACTGTTAAAGTTTGCAATGTGTTACATCCTGTAAGTTAATTCCATATTCTTCCTAATTTTATCAAAGAACATGCTAAACATAGTATTCAGGTCCTATTTTCAGTACGATCTGAACCTGAACATCATCATTAAATGACATAGAAAGGAAACTTCTCCTTTTATGCACACTCCATTCAAGCATAAATGTAACTAGTACAGAAAGATCACCTTTGAAATGTAGGTAAGTTTAATGGCTCCAACCCGTGATGATCCAGAAGGGAGGTTCTAGAAGAAATTATTAATACATAGTTAATATCCAACCTCATGACTTTGTTATAATCCTCTACACATTTAAGAAGTTAATACATTAAAACTTTTAGTATCACATTTTATATATCAGCCGTTTCAGTTCAAGTAGCTCCTAGGTCTGAAATCAGTTTGTTATCCATTTTGACAACACGGATAACAAACTAAGCCTACTCTGTCCACCTTAACAGATTCTGTAGCTACAAAGCTGTCTCTGACACATAACCAACCTCTTCATGAGCGTGAAACCCCTCACAAGCCCCAGCCAGTGTGGCTGCCGCTGGGCATCACCCGTGCACTGAAGGCTGTCAGTTCACTTCCTGGTCAGGCGCATTCCCAGGTGGCAGACCCAAACCCCAGGAGGGGGTGTGCAGGAGGCAGCCAATCTATACTTCTCTTTCATTGATGTTTCTCTCTCTCTCTCCCTCCCTCTCCCTTCCTCTCTGTCTCTAAAAATCAAGAAGAACTTATGCTTTAAAGTATTTTTTCAAAATCTATAAACAAGATCAGATTTTGTTCCTGAAAGCAATGGGAAAAAATATTTAGAGTCATAAAACCATTGCAAGGAACTTCAAAAGACTTTACGTATTACTTTGTTCTATTAAAATTTTTAAATTAAGTATTTTTTTTAAAAAAAAAGACTGAATTATTTCTTATTTTAAACTTTATCTGTATTGATACAATGTATTTTTAAAAATTTTAAGTTATTAATTGATACTCTTTAAACCATGCCAGGGAATGCACATATTGATACTTTCACACAAAATATTTTTATTCCTCCCCTAACCAGTTTGGAATGTGATTTATGTCTTGAAAGAGAATCTTTTCTGCCCAAGGCTATCAGGAAAGACTCTGCAGGGAGAAACGACATTTGAAGGAAAAATCTGAAACACAAGAGCAAGAGAGAGACTCTTCCAGGAGAGAACAGAGCCCCGGCGCAGCTGGACGCCCAGAAGCGCGGCCTGACGGGGCAGTGGCTGAAGGACAGGGGCCCTCGGGGCTGTAGGAAACGGGCTGGAGCGCCTGAGCGGAGAACCTTCTCAGCGGACCTAACCGAGAAGCAAAGACCACGGAGTTCATACTGGCAAGAATTTGAAACCATTAAAGAAAGCGTGTGAGCAGTTCTGTGATCAAAACTGTGCTTTAATTAATACATCCTGCAAAATAATAAATCAGACAGATTATAGCGGAGGAAGATACAGGTAAGAAAACCAGATAAAGGAAGCTGGAGAGAAATATATAAAAGACTGATCGAATATTTCAAAAGGAAAATTAAAACAATCTTGATTTTTAAAGTGTCCTCCACTGCAGATTAAGCAAGATCACCTTTTTAATGGTCTTTATAATCATGTGCATTAAAAAGCCTCTGGGCTTGTTCTCACGCGTGAGCAAGAAGTGCATTTCTCAGGCCTCTCACGCTCCCTGGGAGGCTAACTGCGTGGGAGCTGCAACACCTCCAAGACCAGATTTCCAGACGTGAGCTTGGTGTTGCGACAGGGATAGTCTTTTCTCAACTTTCACTCCCACGTCACGTAAACTGCATTACGTTCCGCTTGAAACTGTGCGCGATGGACAGGCTTCCACATAAACCACACATAAATACGGACGTAAAGTCATAATGTTTAGTGTGTAACTTTAAGTGGTTGTGTTCTTACACAAAATGGTTTACATTGAGAGGGTTTTGTCTGATTGCTTTTTAAATTTGGGATAAGGGAATTAAGTGTTAAAATGTCTTCAGGCCCTCCTAATTACTACCAAGTGACTTTTTAAAAAATATGTTTTTATTGATTTCAGAGAGGAAGGGAGAGGGAGATGGAGAGAAACATCAATGATGAGTGAGAACCATTGATCGACTGCCTCCTGCACACCCCCTACTGGGGATCGAGCCCACAACCCGGGCCTGTGTCCTTGACTGGATCAAACCCAGGACCCTTCAGTCCACAGGCCAACGCTCTATCCACTGCGCCAAACTGGTTAGGGCCAAAGTGACTTTTGTCAAACACTGCTACCTTCCCTTCAAAATCGATCATGTTCTGTCGGTCCTCCACACGCCTCTCACCTAACCAGATGGCGCAGCTCTCAGCCCGTGTGAGGAGGAGTGAGAAGCTACTGGGGCTGCATGAAGCGGGGTCACCGATTGGCCCAGCACAAGGAAACAGAAGCAGCCGGGACGAGAGGCATGCGAAGCACCAGCACCGATGGGCCGGCACGGCTGCTGCCAAGTTCAACGGGAAAAGTGTGGGTTTCAAAAGATGTTGCCGGACGATGAAAAAGAAATAATAAACCAACATGACATTTAAGATAAAAAGCAAAGGAAGCCATTTGTTCTATGCGTTCCTGCAGGCTTTTTGCCAAAATACTCTTTCAGGTTTCTCCAAATTCCCTTCCTATACAGCTACTCCGTTACTGTGTTCCCCGCCACTATCCCCGCCCTCAACAAAACAGGACGCCCCCAGCTGACCCCTAAGCACATACGAGAATGGGTTTTTTAAATCAATGACTAGTGATAAAGAAAACAAAACAGAGGAAAAATGGCTCCCGAAGAACAGGTGAGCCAAACTAATGTGCTTTCATTATTAGGGATATGTGGTCAGTATGATGTTACTGCACTGTAGCCATAAGCAACTAGGTTGAATCATATGAAATTGCCACTTTAGTGCATGAAAATATTGGAGCATTGGCAACTTCACATGGTTCACCCTAATGTAACACTCTCAGCACATCACACTACAGTTCCATGAAAGATGTAAGTCTTTACTAATACATTTAAAAGTCACAGGACGCTGGCACTGATGACTGGTGCGATGGTTGGCAGAACCAAGGCTGTGAAAGCTTCCCTTCAGCTGAAATGAAGAGACACATTTACTGAGAACTGAGTAAAAGGACAGGTTTAAAATTCTGCACTACATTCGAGAAAACCCATGTGTTAACGACACCACAGAATCTGGTTCCCAGAGTTCATGTGAAAAAGACCTGGCTGAGTGCAAACTTGAACGGCACCCTCGCTGCTCCGGCCGGGCCCGGGCTGTTCTCCGAGCACCGCCACCACCGCCACCACCGCCCCGCCTCGGGGCCAGAATCGTCTGTGGCTCCAGGTCAAGTTCTCGTGTCACCGCCTCCAGGAAGGCTTCCCTCCCTCCGCTGGCTGTAGCCACCGCCCTCCTCTCCATGCCAAGTTGGCTTCCCTCCCTGCAATAAACATGCCCTCCTCTGTGCCTACGGTCCTTCTGCTCCGTGCCAGGGGCAAGTACTGATAACGGGAGGGGTTCTGAGGAGCAGAACCTGTGACAGATGAAGACTGAAAACCATCCAGGACTTGAACATAAAGCCCAGGAGAAACCGTCTGTGAGTCAGCCAGGTCCTGCAGGGCGACGAGTGCGCACCGCTCGCGGGGTGAGGAGACCAGGCAGGGCCCCGGCACGCGGCCATGAGAAGGTGCCGGGGACCTCCAGGTGCTTCCACCTGGGCTGAGGAAAGGAGTGTGGGAGGGGCCTGTGCCACAGAAAAAGGCGGGGCCACAAAAGGGAGGAATCAGCTTTACGTTAAAAACAAAGGTAAGGATGGGCTTCTGACTTGCGCTGCCCTGTCCTCCTGCCACTGCCTCTGGTCAGGTAAACACAGGTGTGACTCATGTGGCTGCATAGCCAGGTCACCACCCCCCAGGACAGCTGGCTACACCCAGAGGTGAGGCGGTAAACCTGGGGGTCAGCAAGCTCTTAAGAATAAGGAGAGAAAAGACAGTTCCTGGCAAAAACAAGTCTCACCCACAGCCTGCGCTCCAATAATATCATCGGAACGAAAGAACAAATTATCCTCCAAAGCCTGACAGGCCGCGTGAGGACAAAGGTCTGGACTTAATGGAGAGTCAAAGGGCAAAAGGAGGCTCAGTGGGGAGAAGACACAGGCACTGGATCATGGCTCACAGAACAAGTAACAACGAAAGCCGCCTCAAACAGAACATGCGCTTCTTAGCAAAATGCAGTCCAAACAACAGGAAGGTGAAGACCAGGGTAAACGGGTTTCTTGCATTAAGGAGGCTGAATTAATGCCAAGGCCCCTGACATCAAACTCTATATGCGCACATACAAATGCATGAGCGTGGGCGCGTGCATCTCACCGCGTCGGTGCAGCGCAGCAGACCCTCCTCCGGCCCTGCTCTCCTGGCTGCAGGCTCCTCGCCTGCACCAGAAGCCCACTGACCAGAGCAGCTCACAAGTTTGCTAGGGGCTCATCTCTTGCTCTGCACACGCTTCCTAGCAACATGCATCTCAATTAACGAAGAGTCTCAGGTAAAGATATAAGACGGCTCAGCTGGTGATGGCTAATCCAGGCCTCTCGTCTGCAGTTCACAACACCTACCCCTCGTGCCTCACAGACACCAACAGACAAAGTGGATTTCCGCCATGAACGGCACTGCACTAGCTGGCACTCCAGTTCTCACGCGACACGATGAAAGGCCTACATCCGTGCACGAGTGTCAGCTAGTTTGCGCAGCGTATTTCCAAAAGACAGCCTCCCCTTAGAGACAGCAGCTCACATCTAAAGCAGCGGTCGCCAAGCGGTGGTCCGCGGACACCAGGGGTCCGTGAGGTCCGAAAGGTTGGCAACCGCTGGTTTAAGGAAACCTCTGGAGCAGCGGTCGCCAAGCGGTGGTCCGCGGACACTGGTGGTCCGTGAGGTCCGAAAAGTTGGCGACTGCTAATCTAAAGGATTTTAAATTTTCTACCAGAGCTAGTGTTTCTCTCCCAGGGAGGAAAAGCATATGTGGTGCATACATTTTTATGAAATAAGTTTAGTTTCATCTGAAATTCAAATGAGACAGCAGGAGCTGGGGGCAGGCAGAGAGAGTGTCCCAGTAGAAGCAAATCTAAACACATACTGTTTTGGAAGACAAATCCCAACATCATAGAATGTCAAATACTTTAACAATGAAAACTCGGGCATGCTTTTGCAGAAAGGTAACCCTTTGGATTTTACAAACCTGTGGGTTATCCATGTACCATACAAAACTATCTTCTCTGGTGTCCAGTATGAAGTACCTTCGAAGAAATTTACCACTATTTTCATTTTCTTCGATGTCTAGAAAACCACAAATGCGATTCTGACGATCCACATAAGGCATTTCTGAGCTTGAACATTACACTGTAAGACAAAAACACCAAGGGTGAGTATTTCTCCGTGGACTTGGAGGGTAACGTGTGCTATGGGATGATTTGTTCAACCCACTTCCAACAGCAGGTGGGAGCCGGTCAAGGGGAACACAGACAAAGCCTGGGCAGAAGTCCCTTTAAAATCAGGGAGTATGAGTGGTTACCAAGGGCAACGGCTCACACTGATGAGGACGAAGGAGGCTATGCCCCTCACTTGAATAATGTACTTACTTTTCCCTAAACAAACCCAGTGGACCCCAGAATCAGCTGCCCAAACTTCCATTCCTCACTTACAAATCAAGAGAGTCTGCCTTTCAGACTGCTCCAGAGTATTTTTAAATACACAAAACAATAGTAGCTAACTTCCACTGGCCACTTACTGTATGCTAGGCTCTCGATTCTTTCCCATGCACTTTCTCATTTAATCCTCAAAATGACTCCGGGGAGCACCATCTTTCCCATTTCAGACAAGAAACTTAACACTGAGGAGGGAAGCGACTTTCCAAGACGAGAGAACTAGTAGGAAACGGATCAAAACATGACCCAGATCCTTGGACTCTGCAGCTTGTATTTAATCTCGACACCACCCCGTCTCTCCAAAACCTTTCAACTCTTAAAACTAAAATGAACCAAAACAAAGCCAGCGACCATCATGAAGAGAGAGAAGCAGGCCCTACGTGCCTCCTGATGGAACGCACCATCACCAATGAGGTGAACCTACTGTCACCAAAAGAAGCCGTTACCTGGACCTTCCACCAGGTCTCTAGACCCCCCGATTCCAACTGCCGATCGACAGAAATACAGGCACCGAGGAACCCAAAAACCGGGACAGAGCGATTCAATCGCCAAGCCACACTGGGAAAGACCAGGACAAAGAGCCCCGTTTCCTCAGCAAAACGATGTCGACAGGGAAAGCAGGAGAGGCTGCAGACTGAAGGAGACTTCGGCGACACGGCGCGTCGTGGATCTGAAGTGCCGACGTTGTTATTGTAGGATCGACGTCAAAACCAGGACTTGGGTTAAAAACAGTGCTGACGGTCATTTTCTCTAGAAACGAGCGAGGGTTCCTTCCTGCTGTGCCTGGCGCCTGTGTACCCAGCACTCTCTCGGCAGCGGAATGGATTTATCTAACGGGCTCTTCATTTACTCAGTGAGAACTCCGCCAGGACGAACAGACGTGCACTACTTGATTTCAAGATTTGCAATAAAGACAGGGTAGGGCTGGTGAAGAGAGAGCTCTACTAAATCAATGGAACAGAAGAGCACCCAGAAACAGAACCACTCCTATGCTGTCAACTGATTTTCAGCAAAGATGCCAAGGCAGCTCCATGGGGGAAGGACGGTCTTTCCACGAGTGGCGCTGAAACGATCCGCGATCCGCTCTCTGCGTGGAAGGAAACGAGCTCGCGATGGGTCAGGGGTCTCACGTAAAGGCTGTAGCAGGAACGCTTCTAAGAAACACCCAGGAGCAAGTCCTCAGGGCCCTGTGTGGTAGCCAGACTCCTCCGATAACATGCGGGAACCTGGGCCAGGTAACGGTTAATATACTGGACTTAGTTAAAATTAAGAACTTCTCTTTGAAGGAAACCATTAAGAAATCAAAAGGACAAGGAAGAAAAAAAAAATAAATAAGAAATCCAAAGACAAGACACAGATGGGAGAAAATATTCAGTACACTTACATCAAATAACCGATATCCAAGAACAGGCAAAGAATTATTATAATTCAATAATAAGACAAGCCAACAAAGAAATCTACATATATGGTAAATAAGCACATTAATCAGGAAGGATTGCAAAGAAATACCATAAGATGCCACTACATACCTACTAGAATGGCTAAAACAAACAAAAAAACACCTAAAAACAAACAAACAAAAAACCTGGCAATACCAAATGTTGACAAGCATGAACAAATGAACACTCTCGCATACACTGATGGTGGGAATGCAAAATGATACAGCAACATGGGAATACAGTTTGGCAGATTCTTATAAAGTTACTAGAGGCCTGGTGCATGAAAATTCATGCACTGGAGGGGGGTCCCTCAGCCCGGCCTGCCCCCTCTCACAGTCTGGGAGCCTTCAGGGGCAGGAGGCAACCCTGCGATCAGGGAAGGCAACGCCCCATCACACCTCTGCTGCAGCCACTGCCGGAAGCGCAAGCCTCGGCCGGCCCTGGTTACCTGAGCCTCGGGCTGGCCCTGGGCAGCTGGGGGGCTGAGGGGACTGGGGGATCCGGAGGTAGAGGGAGCTCAGCAGGTGGAGGGTGGAGGGAGGGGGTGGCTTTAAGGGTAATTCCTTACTTACTGACCTGTTTGTTTATCTGCTGGGAATACAGGCTCCAGGAGAGCAGGGATTTGCTTTTCTGTTTACTACTGCTTTTCTAATGCCTAAAACAGCTGCTGGTACACGGAAGGCACTCAGTAACAATTTGTTGAATGAAGTATTAAGAAACCCATAATTACTGCAACTAATCTGAATGTTTAATTTTCCAAATACAAACTTGCATCTTCCTCATCAGACAAGAAATCATTCAGCAGACTTATCTGACTGGTTTGTTTAGATGACGAAGGAAAAAGGTTCAAACACTCTATTTCACTGGATTTGTATCATTTTTAGTTAAGTTAGTATGAGGCAAGAAAAGATAAAATTATATGATTAAAACCTCCCCAATATTTATCCTTCAGCATTACTGATGCTCTAACATATGATTAGATAATACAATTAGCGATAAATTAACAAAGTCATAGTTAATACTTCATCAGTCAGGAACCAGGAAGTAAGCCAAAAAATGAAAACAGAAGTCAGAGACAGAAAAGAAAAAGAAAGGGAAGTTAAGTTCTGCAGAGTGAGACCTGGTTAGGCCCTCAGGACCCTACTGTTCTGTTACCTAGATGTCGGGTGAGACCGTCCTTATTCTCCCCAAACTGCTGACACACACACAGCTGAGCATGTATGGACGTCGGGATCAAACCTCTGGGGAGCCCACACGGACACCCCCACAGACCTCAGGGCTCCAGCACCCTGACCAACGCCTCACCATCGTCCCACACCATACACGCAGCTGACAGAAGACAGAGGTTTTCCAAGTCTTCGGGGAGAGCACAGGGAACGGAGGGGTACTCACCCCAAACAGGGGCAGGGGACACCCAAGAGCATCATCATTCACCGGGAGGAGAAGGGCTACAAGGAGAGCCTGCGTAGAAAGGCGGGGCCAGGAAGGGGGCCGATGTGGGCACCTGCAGGCCACCGCCTGGCGTCACCACAAAGTGCGTTTTGGTGGGTTACGTGGAAACTGCAGGAGGCAACCGACGGGGGCCATCTTGCTGGTATGAACAAAATCTGGCCGCACAAGAAAATATCCCCAGCCCACCTCGGCACACACACCGCACCCCCAGGAGCCGGGGAGGACAGACGGGACAGGGCCCGGGAGGGGCGTGCGGGCAGCAGTATCAGCCCCGGGAACGCTGGGCAAGGGCTCTCCCTGCACAATCTCACCAAAGGCCCGTGTGGACTCCCGTCAGAGGACCCTGGCTGCCGCTGGGGAGAAACATTGATGAGAATCATTGATCGGCTGCCTCCTGCATACCCCCTACCGGGGATCAAGACTGCAACCCAGGCACATGCCCTGACTGGGAATCAACCATGACCTGGTTCATAGGTCGGCGCTCAGCCACGGAGCCACCACGACCAGGCCATAAGAGCTGTAATACTCCCAGGTCAGAAACGCTGTCCTTGCACTGCTGCTTCTGACCAGTCCCCATCCCAGAGATCCCAGCAGAGGGCCAAGAAGGCCCTATCCCAGGGCGCACCACAACCCCGCCCTGTCCGAGGGCTTCCTGCAGCAAGTGGCCCAACCCTGGGGTAAGTAAGGGAGGAGAACAGCTTAATGCTGCATAGGAGACTGAAGGTTTAAACCGAAATAGGTGGAACTGGAGCTTTTAATGGCTGTCCATGTCGAAAAGCTATCGTTTGCCCATGATGTCATGGGGAGGGACGAGGGGAAGGACATCCTACAAATCACAGTGAGAAGCAGCGGAGGGTAGAAAAGACTGTGCGTTTGTTCTCAATAGCCCGGCGACAGGTGGAGCAGCACCACTGCCCTGGAGGAGGGACACCTGGCCTAGGGCTCCCAGGGGACCTGTCCCGGGGAGAGCTGCTTCCATGTCCCCGGGGACACGTGCCCACTCAGGGCCCGTGGCCGTCCTTTCTTGGGAAGAGGGCCCGTGGAATCCGGAGCCCGGCTCCATGGTCCCCCTCACCAAGTCTAAGCCACATAAAGGGGTACAACCACGACTGCTGGAGGGCACACCTACCAGACTGACGCGGCAGATAAAGATACCTCGTAGGAAAAAATACTCAAGACTCGCAGGCTTATTCACATATTTAAGAAGATCCTAAATGACTGATTTTCTTTTACATTCAACAGAAATTCCAGCTCAGAAAAGCTTATGCTATAAAACCCCCCAAACACTCTCTTCCTGATCCAAGCACTGCGTCCAATCAAAAGGCTCACAAATACACAGCAGGCGTGTTTTCGGAAATATCGTCCAGGAATCACAAGATCATACATTCTTCATCACACGGAGCTACTAGGAAAAATATCACTTAGAGCTCAAATGGCTTAACGTCACTCCTTAAGCATAACAGAGTCCTATGGCTGAAACAACTATCAACAGGAATTTTGAGTTTTAAAAACATCCCCTATTTTTATGTTCCTAAAAATAATGAAGCATTATAGAAAAGCATCTACAGCTACCAATGTATCTGCCTGAAGAATCTGCTTCTGATACTACATCAATTTCCAAATGTGTGTCCTTACAAATGGTCAAAAGAATTAAAACTCACTTTACTATTTACCTCCTACCGAAGTCACTGTATTGTACACTGGAGACCTGAATGAGAGGAGTCGCCTTGAGATGTGACAGCGAATTCTAACATTACCAAGCGTAAAGGCTCAGCAGGGGAACTGGTGCTGGGGGTGACCTCCG